TGGATATTCGTGTGCCCGTCTTCCGTATTCCCTTGACCTCTGGCTATTTCTCTTGACCATTCTCAGACGCTAGTCCGGCCATTCTAAGGTCCGGTAACCGTCTTTCTGTGGGTTTCACGCTGTGTGAAGGGGTCACTGTTGTGACTTTGGTCACTGTCGTGACACTGTAGAAATTTATAGAAATGTAGCTTCCATTGTATATGGATGTCTTAGAGTTACGGTAAGAGTACATATAAAAAGTAGCTATTTAGATCTAAATAGCTACTTTTTCATATAGCAACATTTTTTTTGTTTTTGCTATAACTATTGGTTACACCTACTCTTAATGTAGCTCTCAATCACTTCTATATAAAATACTAATATTTATATGCAGTTTTAAATGACAGCGAGCAGTCAGTGGCTGCTCACTGTTTAGGCGACATGGATTTAACCTGTGCCAGTGATAATAAATAAAAATTTTACCCATTAAGCCCGAATTTTATCGGTAAACCTTTGGTTTTTAGGCTGAAATTCAGTAAAAAAATAATTAATTCTCGTCAATTAGGATGAAAATAGCACTGCGCATGCACCCCCCCCCCACCCCCGCACCAGCTTCCACCTTTTAATAAACATTAAGCATTCCAGCCCCATCTCCCCCTCCCAGAGTGTTATAAGTCACATTACACAGCATGGGAAAATTCCAAAGAACTGTGACCGGTAAATGTAAAGACTTACCTGTCAGTGTCTTCATTTACCTGTCAGAGCACTCTGATTGGTTGGTTCCAAATCAACCAGAGTACTTTAAGTCAAAATGCAGGATGTGGGAAGGCTTTATAAGCCTTTCCCTGCCCTGCGTAGCTCAGTCTGCGCAGTGCCCTCACTGGGTGAAGATCGATTATTTTTTCCGTCTGCATTTTTTTTTTGGCAAATTTTTTTTGCGCTCAGGTTTTTATTTTATTTTATAAGTTCGACGGGACAATTATTAATTTTCATGGGCCCTTTTTTGGGGCTGAAGAAAGAAAAGAAGAAAGAAGACATCTAATGGAAAGTATGAAATTGTATTGTACAGGGTGTTAGTTTATTGCCCCCCCTCACTATTATTAGGGTGAGGGGGTAGGTAGAATATTTTTTATTGTGGGGGAGTGAGTACGAGCTTGGGGACCCCTAGTTACTTTATTATTTGTGGAATTGTGGGGGCTTATTCCCCTGCAGTACAGAGTATATTAACCCCTTAAGGACTGAGGAAGTTGTACAAGTTGTGATCAAAATAAAAATGTCAACAAATCCTTGAATTTGCACTATATGTCTGTTCAGGCATAATTCACCTCTTTCCTATTAAATACACCCACACTTATTATATGTAATTTTGTTCAGGAGAAACAGGGCTTTCATGTCTCAAATATTTGTATATTAAACATAATTAACACATTGAAATTTGCCAGACTGGTTATGTTGCCTTTGAGACCAAATGGTAGCACAGGAATGAGAATTTCCCCCATCATGGCATACCAATTGCAATAGTAGAAAACCCAAGGTATTACAAATGTGGTATGTCCAGTCTTTTCTAGTAGCCACTTAGTCACAAATACTAGCCAAAGTTAGCGTTCATATTTGTATGTGAAAAATGCAAATAACTAAATTGAATGCTAATTTTGGCCAGTGTTTGTGAGTGAGTGGCTACTAGAAAAGACTGGACATACCCCATTTGTAATACCTTGGGTTTTCTATTATTATTATTATTATTATTATTGCCATTTATATAGCGCCAACAGATTCCGTAGCACTTTACAATATTATGAAAGGGGATTTAACTATAAATAGGGCAATTACAAATAAACTTACAGGAACAATAGGTTGAAGAGGACCCTGCTCAATAGAGCTTACATTCTATAGGAGGTGGGGTGTAAAACACATTAGGACAGGAATGTGCAATCAAATAAGGTGGGCTGCCCTTTAGGAGAGGGCAAGAGACGGGTATGTGAGGTAGGGGTTAGTCTTGGAGGCCATAAGCTTTCCTAAAGAGATGGGTTTTAAGGCACTTCTTAAAAGATGCAAGACTAGGGGAGAGTCGGATGGCGGTAGGCAGGCTATTCCATAGGAAGGGAGCCGCCCGCGAGAAGTCCTGCAAGCGCGAGTTGGCCGTACGGGTGCGGACAACGGACAGGAGGTGGTCACGGGCAGAGCGGAGAGACCGAGAAGGGACATACCTGTGGATCAGTGAGGAGATATAAGAGGGGCTAGAGTTGTTCAGTGCTTTATAGGTGTGAGTTAGTGCCTTGAATTGACTCCTATAGCACACAGGAAGCCAATGTAAGGACTGGCAGAGGGGTGAGGTGTGAGAGAACCGACTAGAGAGGAAAATCAGTCTACTATTGCAATTGGTATGCCTGGACATACCCCATTTGTAATACATTGTGTTGTGTAGTTTTGCAAATGGTATGCCATTATGGGGGTAATTTACATTCCTGGGTTAACATATGCTCTCAAAGGCAACCTAACCAATCTGACAAATTTCATTGTGAAAAAAAGGAAATTCAAGCCTTCTTTTTGACTCTGTAATGTTTGAAAACACCATAAAACCTGTACATTGGGAGTACTGTTATACTCGGGGGACTTCGCCGAACACAAATATTAGTGTTTCAAAATACTAAAACTTATAACAACAATATTGTCAGTGAAAGCACTGTTTGTGTGTGAAAAATGCAAAAAAAATTATTTTTACTGATGATATCATCGTTTTGATATGTTTTACGGTTTTAAAACACTAATATTTGTGTTCAGCATAGACTCCCAAGTAAAACAGTACCCCCCACATACATGTTTTATGGTATCCTGGAAAGTTACAGGGTTAAATATGGTGCTTGCGAGCCAAATTCTCTGGACTTTCTGCCTGGGTTGTCGGGCAGGTCCCTTAGAATGCAATTAATAAAAAGAATTAGTTAGGTAAAAATATTATATAGATATATTTGTAGAAATTGAATATAGCTATATATAAATAAAAATAATTTAAAAACTGATATATCTACATATATCTATCTATATATATATACATATATAAATAATTTATAAAATTATATATCTACATCTATCTATATATCTATCTATATATCTATCTATAGCTAAATATAAATAAAAATAATTTTAAAAATTATATATCTACATATATCTATCTATATCGATTGATAGATGGATACATAGATATATGTAAATATATAATTTTTTTATTATTTTTATTTATATATAGCTATAGATAGATATACATATATGTATTTATAACGTCATTCTCAATGTATTTTAATTGAATATATATGTATATTAATATCAAAATACAGTTAGAACAAATTAAAACTGGTATATTTTTTTTTATTAATTTTTTATTTTTTATTGTTTTTCAAATTTATTGATTATTTGTATATAATATCTATCTAAATATTAAAATACACTTTTATTAAGCCCTTAGTGACCAGACCGCTTTTCAATTTTCTTACCGTTAAGGACCAGGGCTGTTTTGACATTTCTGCGGTGTTAGTGTTTAGCTGTAAATTTTCCTCTTACTCATTTACTGTACCCACACATATTATATACAGTTTTTCTCGCCATTAAATGGTGTTTCTAAAGATACCATTATTTTCATCATATCATATTTAACTATAAAACAAATATGATGGAAAAAAACAAAACTTTTTCTAACATTTACCCACAAAATCTGTTGCGCATCTACAACTGCCAAAACACACCCATGATAAATAGTTTTTACATTTTGTCCTGAATTTAGAAATACCCAATGTTAAAATGTTTTTTTTTGTGCAAGTTATAGGGCAATAAGTACAAGTAGCACTTTTGTACTATATTGCACGATGCTATTTCCAAACCATTTTTTTTTTCAAAATTAACCAAAGTTACATTGTAACACTATCTGTCAGGAATCCCTGAATAACCCTTCACATGTTTATATATTTTAAAAGACAACCTAAGGTATTAGAGAAAACTATAGTATATAGGGAATTGAATGTTTTTCTACCTCCTTTTTATTTGTAAGGTAAATTGGCTAGATGAGCATGTCAAAACTCAGGTAAAACAGTGCTGTATGGCACACTTAATATACTAATCAAGAAAATAAACTTACATACTTAAACAATATACTTCCATAGAGAGATACTAATGAGTGATTCTGATAGTAGGCTAAGCTGGTGGATATGACCACTGCAAGGAGAATGAAAAATCACTTAACCCCTTAAGGACACATGACATGTGTGACATGTCATTATTCCCTTTTATTCCAGAAGTTTGGTCCTTAAGGGGTTAAACCTCCTATTACAATAAAAATAAAAGGACTGGCAGGGTATTGGTAGCCAAGGACATAGGGTCAGCACATAAACATTAAGTGGCTTTGGATGTTGGCTATATTCCCTAGATTTCGTACTGCGGCGTTACTAAGAGGGGCTAAGAAGTAGAAACAAAGTAAGACAAGAAATAAACTGGTGTAATAGGCTCAGAGAAGTACGTTGGTGATCGTCTGCTATGCATGTTAATTTGTATTCATGTTTCCTGTAATTGATATTCTCTCTGTGTCGGGACTGGTAAAGGCATGGTATATATTGCTTTACCAGTGATATGTAGCTGAGATTTATGAGACCTGTATATTGGGTAAGTGGCATGTTGCTTAGAAAAAGTTTGTATTTGGTGCCACTTGACTCCTCTGTCTCAAAGGCCTAAAAACACTATGTAAAATGATTTGCGTTAATTTAAAGAAGGCATATTATAATGCGTTAGGTCTTAGTATGTGCTGCTCATAATCTCCGCTTAAGTGGTGACCGCAGCGTAGGAGTGTGGTGTTAAGCTTCATGGGATAAATGGGGCAATTCTTGACAGATCCCAGGTGCAGGTAGGAGAAGTTAGGTTGTGGAATCTCTCCTGAGTGAGTCTTGTGGTAGGCTCAGAGTCCGCAAAAGATCCACTGCATCATGGGAGAGCCGCCAGCGATGGCCAATGTTGTGTAATTGAAGCAGGGAGGTGAGTGGTCAGAGTAGCCTGTGCCACACTAGGATTCCACTGGACAGGTTGTCGAAGAAAGTTAGTGCCATGTTCTCGAAACGGAGGGGAGTTTTACCATGTAGGGCTGTGAGGACCGCTGCATTGTCCTTCCCATTGCAGAAGGTGACTATGGTGTCCCTTGTGGCTGGTGCCCTGGTAGGTTTTGGAACCCTAAAGAAGTCTGCAGGGCTGATGGCCTGCCCAGGTGGCAATATGGCTGTAAACATGCACCTTAGTACATGCGGCAGCTCTGCCTCCAGCACTTCCTCCGGGACCCGTCTAACTTTTAGATTGTGTCTCCGTCTAGCATCTTCCTGGGCCGCAAAGCGGTGTTCATACATCCGATTCAGCTGTTGTAGGTCATGCACGGCCTTTTGTAGTGTGGCAATGTTCTGCTGGTTAGCTTGGGTGGATCCCTCCAGCGTGCTAACGCGGCCTGCCAGGCCTTGTAAGTCACCTCGGAGTGCTGTTACATCCGTTAGAATGTTCTTTTGCAGATCTGCCAGTAAAGTTTTAAAAACCCCGGTGGTTACTGGCTCGGCGTCTGCTCCTGTCTTGCTTTGTCTTGGCTTCTGCACTGGGGCTGGAGCAGGCATGTATTCGACTTCGGCGTCCCCAGAGAAGTCATCCGAGAAATCGGAGCAGCCACCATGAAGAGCCGACATTGTGAGCCCGCTTGCTTGCCTCCACATGTCACCAATCGTCAGCCCTGGAGTAGGTTTGTCCAACGCTGCTTTTTTACTTTTGTGTCCCATTCGGCTTGGGGGTCCCCACAGTTTTTGGGGGTCAATGGGTATGGTTTAGTCGTTGGCTTCCCCGTTTTATGCCCAGAGCTACAGGCTCGTGTGACCACTCGCTTAGGCTCCACCCATGGTGATTTAAAAAAAAAAATAAATTATGCACATAGCAATTTAAAGTGACACTCCAGGCGCCCAGACCACTTCTGCCCATTGGAGTGGTCTGGGTGCCAACTCCCAATTAACTTGCAGGGTTAAATCCTCCTCTAGAGGCTGTCTATCAGACAGCCACCAGAGGAACTTCCATGTTCTTAGAACACAAAAAGTGTTTTAAACTATGCTAGATGTCCTCACGCTATGCATACGGACCTCCAGCATCGCTGAAATCCCCATAGGAATGCATTGAATAATGTTTTTCTATGGGGAGGTCTAATGCGCGCGGCCATTGCCACACATGCGCATTAGATCTCCCCCACCGGCTGACAGAGGGGGGTGAGCGTGGGTGTAGCCTGACCCAGCGCCGAGGGACACTGGATTCAGATAAGTCACTGAAGGGTTTTAACACCTTCAGCAACATGGGATAGGAGGTGGGAGGGAGAGGGGCACTGCAGGATTCTGCAGTGCCAGGAAAACAGATATGTTTTCCTGGCACTGGAGGGTCTCTTTAAGAATACTGAGAACTTTAAGGATTACTGCCAAAGAACACCCCAATATGTGTTTAGTAACATCTCCTGAGTACAGTGATACCACCCATGTATAGGTATGTCAGGTTTTCTGGGAGCTAAAAGACCTAAAAAGACCAACTTGGAATTTTCACAGCTGGTCATCATGCACCCATGTCCTATTTGGGGCATTTTTAAAGCCGGCCAATCACTCGGGGGCCCGGCAGTCAAGTAAGACCCGGTAAGTACAAAGGACTGCGGGGACATTCTATGCCACCCGCTAGCATTTAGGATCACCTAAAAAAGGACGGCAAAGAACGCCCGCCATCCTTAAGTGGTTAAACGAAAGAAACAAAACAAAAAGGTAATGGATTCGGCATTTGTCCTTTCATTTAGTTTATATTTTGTATACATTTTAGTAAAATAGTATGAAAAAAACAGAATTTTTGGAAGAACTCATATTCGTACAAAAACGAATGCATATGTCTACTATATATAATAGGTAGATTATCTATACTTATCTATAATCTAATACATACTGACTAGCTCCCCATTGGGATACGCCTAATTGTTTCAAGTTTAGTTACCTTACTCTCTAGTGGTTACCCCACTAAAGTGTTCCCATTCAGGATTATTTGTCTTGTTTTTTCTTTTTATGTGGAAAAGAGGGAGCAATGCGTTCATGCCGGAGTTTGGGCTTTGAAAGACGTGACAACTCAAGGTGGAACAGTGGAAGATGTTGGTTGGTATCGTTAAGCCAATGTATGAGAGGACTCAGAGTGTTGAGGCCTTGTGCCAGATAGGTCTGACATGCTGGTTGCACAGCCCCGCTGCCTGCCAGCCCTGGAGAAAAATTGTCTCCAGACCAAAACACTTTCCACAGAGAGCTGCAGAGCAGAATTGCGAGGCAGAGGGGCAGAAACCTATCACAATAAGGTAACAGGGCAGAAAAACAGCAGCTGGAAGCCCAAGAGAAGCACAAGGGAGGAGGAGAAAGGTAGCTCAGAGCCACAATAGGCGGCCTGTAATCACAGAAGGAATCAGCAAGTTGGGAACAAAAAAAAAAACAGCAACATCCCAACAGTCCCAAGCTAAATATAAACACAAAATAAAGTGAAATAACAACTATCATATGAAAAAACATATTGGGAGAGCACTCCAAATTAGAGAGGACTCATCTGGAGGCAGCAGCAAAGAAAGAGGAAGGGGGAGGGTTTTGTAAAGGGTTTTATATGCCCATATGTGTCCTGTGTCAGTAAAAAAAGGATTATGCAAATATGAAGCCTCAAAATTATTATTTTTTTTGCTTTTGTTTCATATTTTAAAAAGTTGTATTTGAAAATAATCTACATCCATATATAAAAAAATATATATATGGTTATGACCCCCCATTTGATGTTAGAGGAACATTTACTATTAATATGATTTTGTCCAAGAGTTGGGATTTTAGAACACATACACCTAGAATTAATTTAGATTAGTTTTAAATATTCTGTGTTAAAATGTAATATCTGGTCTACAATATGCAGTTAAACTGCAAGCTTAAGTCGGAGATGCCCTTCTATCAGTACTAGATCCACTTACTGAATTAAACTCAAAGTATATTAAGGGCATCTGGTCATTTTGATCTTCACATACATGTTTTTCTATCACTGAAATGTTTGCTTTTCCTTAATATTGACAGATTTCTACACTAAATTGTGAATTCAAAGTAAATATGAAATTTAAGGGCAAACAGACGAACTGGAAATGTATGAGAAAAAATGATATTTTCACTTTTTTGCCCAAATTTTAACTTTCCCATTGTTAGCAATAAACAGAATTGAATTTATTGCAAGTATGCAAGATTTGACGTATTCTTGAATATTTAAATAAATGTAAAAGTACACCTCAAATACCAGAACCAACACAACACCCTGTAAAGATCTAGTATTTAGTTATATAATAATATATAATTTTGTTGTTAAAAAAGGACTAGTAACATTTGTTTAAATGCTTTAACAAATATATATTTTAATCTATACCTTCTATATTGTTTATGATATATTTTCATTTTCATTTTATGTCTGCAATATATATTTTAATATATTGTTTACACATAAAGTTAACATTTTTTTCAAGTCATTTAACTGTGTATCTTTGAATTCATCTAAGGCCTGGGATGTGCATTATTGAACAGAATAGAAACAAACAAACTGTCAGTTACAGGAATGAGGAAGAATAAGTTCATGAACTGTTGTAATTTACGCACATCACATTTTTGATTATTATGAAATAGGCATGGTTCCAACTACTGATTCTGAATGAAAAATCCAGTGTGTGCACACAAAGAAACATATATGTGTTTTACATAAATGAATACTAGTAGATGTGTTAGAACAGGGTTGTCAAACATGCGGCCCCCCAGATGTTGCTGAACTACAACTCCCATGATTCCCTGGCTATCTGTTTCATTGAAAGAATCATGGGAGTTGTAGTTCAGCAACATCTGGGGGGCCGCATGTTTGACAACCCTGTGTTGGAAAATACATTAACTATGCAATTGTCAGAAGTCAGTTCAAATATGAGAATTAGATTTAAATATATATATATATATATATATATGTATATATATATATATACACACTAAACCACACTCCACAGTTGTATCAACAGAAATGGTAGGTACTGAATCCAATAATGCATGGGTTTGCCAAATAGCACAAAATACTAAAAATAGGAATTTGTGCACAAATTCAGATAATGTGTATCACAATATTAATTGAGAATGTCCCTAATTTCGTATTTGCAGCAAAAATTTAAATAAAAAATAAATTTAAAAAATCTATCATCAAAAACATCTGTATAAGGTAAAGGTTGCAAATTACCAATGTGAGGGAAAACACACACAAAGAAAAAGTCTATATAGACTATTTTTTATATTATGCACTTAACAGTATAGCAAATAGAAATGTCATAATTTTAATACAGAGGCTTGTCATATAATTGCTAAAAATAAAATTATTGATAATTGGTGAAGATGTACAGAAAAGAACCTGAAATTGACTCTGACACTCCACATATGACTCAACATAAATGTACAATAAAAATGTAGAAAGCCCTCTAAGGTGAGGTCATATGGCAGAAGATTAAAATAATTCAGGACAAATGTAAAAAAAACACAAAAAAAAAAACACAAAAGGGCAGTCCTAATATGTACCAGTCCCTTTAAGGGCCAAAAATTATTTATCGATTATATTATCAAAAGAGGAGAAAAATTAAGACAAAAACAATGGAGAAATAATACAAGGTGGATCTTACCCAGTAATCGATTCTAATGTCCAGGCTTGTAGTGTGCAGTGATTATGAAGTTCCAATGTTTAATGTTTTGAGGTAAAGTCCTAAAAGCAAAAGCTCATTTCAGGGAAGTGACTTCACGAGCAACTGCACACCCCACGCGCGCATACACACACACACAAAATGCACCCCAAAAAAGCACCCGCACATACACACGCGTGCCCCAAAAGCACATAGTCACCAAACATGTATGAACACAACTATTTGCATATTACAACTATTTACACACACTATTAACACACGGACTCATGCACACACCGGACACACTGATACGGATACGGACACTGACACACACACACACTCAGATATACACACACTCAGATACTCACTGACAGATACACACACACATTCAAAGACACACAGGAACACACACTTAGATACACTCACTGGCACACAGAGACATATTTGACGCAAGGCAAACAAGGCATATGCCTTGGGCGTCAATTTCCAGGGGGCGGCAAAAAACGCTGTCCCCCAAATGCCCAGGCAAATACCTTGTTGGCCTGGCGGCTAACAAACAATCCAGGCAGGCGAGCGGCTAACTAAGAATCCATGCGGGTGGGCGGCATGACGTCATATTCATAATGACATCATATTCCGGCTCCGCATCACTCTGCGGCGCGCGAGGGAGCTGAGCAGAGATAGCTCACTAATCAGTGCTCCCTCACCAGCGCCGCCAGGAGTCCCATGGAGTCTTAGTTAGCTGTCTGCCTGCCTCTCTACCTGTCAGAAGGGACCCCAGGTAAAAAAAAAAATCCACCCAGCATTCCCAAAGGTAGGGAGGCTAGGTGGATTTAAACAACAACAAAAAAAAGTAATCAGTTAATGTTTGGGGAGGGGACAGGAGGGGAGGAGGGGGGACGGGCTGTAATTGTGTTTATGTCTGAGTCATTGTGTGTGTCTGACTGTCAGTGTGTGCATGTCTGTCAG